GCATAACTTTCCTAAAAAAATACATGTTTTATCCGGAGAAATTAGGCAACCCTCTAATGTTCATACGGCGCTCTTCCTTAGCATGGCAGTACAGCAAATTCTTCTTTAAGGGCCTCAATTTGGGCCCAAAGGAGCATTCTCATCACAATAGGCCATCTTGACTTGTATCCTTTTAAGTGGACTTGGCCTTGCTTGTGAGAATGGCACAGCCGGGCATAGTACTAGGCTGTAACTAACTAGTGCCTAAAATTCAAAGGTTTCATCTTTGGTCAGGTACACTTGGTCGTTTTTCAGTCAAATCTGTCTTCTTTGAAGTGCCCAAAAGTTAAAGCCTAACCAGCGAGACTGCTGAGACCTTGGACAAGCCTTTTCTTAATCTTGACGCGGAATCCAGAAGACGGCCACATCATGAACAAAATGCGGTAGTTGGCGTTGAAAAAGTCCTCTGGCGATTTTTCATCGGAGGAGAACTCGTAGTGGAGTAGAGTGTTGGCAACGAGGAACTTGATGGACTGCAGAGCGTATTTGTTCCCTGAAATTACGAGAAATAACATTAGGGGGCTGCAGAGGTAAATACTATGATAGGTAAAAGGTATGCAAGCAAGGCTGAATCAAAGTTTGGAGTATTTTTATATTCTGATAACCCAGGATTGCCATCATGCTGTTTATTGCCTGTAAAAATTCACCGAATCATTCACACTTGAAAAAGTCTGATACCTAATTGGATTGCATTTTGCAAGAAGGAACCAAGAGCATTGCAATGTTGCTAAGATTGTATAACTTCTTTTGCCTTGGAAGGAAATTCTATTCATCTATAAACGTTCTCTATTTTACACGCTAATAACTGTAAATTTAAGACAAAATTACTTTGTAAATTTCATATTTTTGTATGATTACAGTAGTTTTATTGCTAAAGGTGAAATTGCACAATCTTAGCAACATGACAATATTCCTGGTTCCCTTTTTCAAAATGCAATCCAGTTGTCGTTGAAATACTTCCAGAGGGAAAATAAATCCCAAGCTAATAAAATGAGTCTTTCTCAGGAATTAGAATATTTTCTAGTAAGTGCGCAACTGATGCGCATACAGGTTCCAATTGGACGTATTTCTGCCAAACGGAACTATGTGCATTAACACATGAGCCCTGGGGCCCATAAGAATATGTGCATAACAGGGCTCACGTTATAATGCACATAGTTCCGTTTGGTAGAAATACGTCCAATTTTCAAAGAGGTTGTACTCGGTTGATGGCAGCAAGTCTCTTTCTTCTATCTACATTAAATGAATAGACATAAAAATTAAGACGTATTGTCAAAACACATGTACATTTTCTCGTTGATGCATTAGAGTAAAGAGGGCTCTATCATAGACGACATTACGTACCGAATTGAGATCAAAAGTAAACGTAAATTATGCATTTTTTCTCAATATATATGATAATGTCATCCTGATGATTGAGCTTCCTGAATGCTCTAAAATACCTATATGAGGCCTTATATGTAACAATGGCGGATGTGAAAAATGACATTTTCGAAACACGCTTAAAAAACTGTTTTGTTCACACAAAAATGTAATATGTTTGGCTCTGGCATAATGTACAGATCTCGAAGATCACATCTCAAGTATTTTCTCAAAATTTTCTCGATGCCAAAACAGTTTTTTGAATGTGTTTCGAAAAGGTCATTTTTCACACCCGCCATTGTTACATATAAGTCCTTATATGCATCGATAAGAAAATGTAAAAAGCCACGCCAAATCTCAAGAAATAAATTGTGGTCTTCATGTTCAATTTATTACTGAGTGTCAAATAGATGCAACGTGAGAGAAAACAAATTTCCTTAAACTAAAATTAAAATAATTAAATGAAGTGCTAGATCAAGTTTTCAATTACCAGGGCAGTGTCTTGGTCCACTTAAGAACGGAACAAATGCACCCTTTACTCGTTTGCGTTCGTTCACCGGGGAAAAGTGTTCAGGGTAAAATTCCTTTGGTTTTTGCCAATATTCAGGATTATGATGCAAGGAAAAGATTACCGGCATAACTTGGACGCCTGCAGGAATTGTGGTTGTCTCTATTGGCAAGATATAAAAAAAAAAAAAAACACAGACATGAATTCAATTTTCAAAGAAAAAATCTAATAGGGTAATAGACTCAATTCTAATGTGTAGTTGGGAGAATGCGCAATGAGCCATTAGACAGGGTATGAATTAAAGCACTCTCTCTATACATTTACATTACATTTACATTTACTCTTTGAAATTTTACTTGGAAAGCGATTTGCGTAACGAAAAATTTGAGATTTAACTCCAAGGTAAAGTATAAATATATTCACACAACATTGATAAAATGGAACAGAGATCATAAGCATGACGTCATTTTTATTTGTGTAATTTTATTAACATTCATTATAAATGCCTACATAGTCTAAAAGATTTGATCTCTAAATTTTTTCATTAGTGAATAATTTTCCTTGAAAAACTTGAAGAGAAAACAAGAAATTAGTGTTTAATTTTGTATTTCATTTAGGATCCCAATTTGTCGTTTGTCAACGCCATAATGTTACAAGAAACTAATTTCAGTTGTACGCACCAAGATTTTTGAAACAACTGTTCGCGTTCTTTTTCTGAGAAATTTGACTATTTCAATCCAAATTGCCATGTATTATAAAGAATATACACACAGATATCAATAATTCACAGAAAAAACATGATACTAATTAACCATATTAATTGATATGCTGTGCCAGTAATTACATATTTCATTCTGGTCTCTTGACGTAATATTTTTCCGTCAAAGTATCAGCGTCGATGAAATATGTATTAGCTATGTTCCATGTAGAATGTTCATTCTATGTAGAATGTTCCAGTAAAAATGATTATAGAGTGTGCATAAAAATTATTTACTCCTCCGATTTTTCCTACCGTCAACTTTAAGGTCCTCAACAAGTTGGCGACCGACGAAAGGAACAGCAAAGTGCCTCAGCGTTTCTTTCACAACCATGTCCAAATATTCGAGCTTTGATACTTCATCAAGGCAGATTTCTTGCTTGTCAAGGCTGCATGTCTCCTGAATTTCCTCAAAGACTTTTTTTTGGATGTCAGGCCGCATTGCAAGTATCTTGAAGATCCAAGCACTCGTTGTTGCTGTGGTGATAGAGCCCTGTAGAGAAAGGACGAGGGAATAAATAGAAAAAATACAACTTAAACATACCAATGAAAATTATTTTCGGTATTGATATATACCTCCAAAACCATTCATTTGAAACAGAGATTGGGCCAATTTTTATGCAGACTAAAAATTTCACTGATGGTAGGCTAAAAGTTTGAGAGAATTGAAAAGTATGAGTGAGACTCAGATTTATTATACTCCTTAGCAGAGGAGCGCCTACAAGTCATGAAGACGCAACACAGCCTACAAGAATGCGCAATCATGCTGTTGTGAATTTATAGGGCGATTCTTCCGAAGACAAGTGTTAAACTTAACCTTTCATGGTTGGAGTTCCGGTAAAGTCTCCGGCAAATTGAACTCGCGTAACAATTTGGATATTAAAGGTAAAATGTTTTTTGAGGGTTGAAAAACATAAATAAAAAAAACTGCTGATCTAACAACGACTAAACTATATCATGGTAAAACTAGGAAAGGCGCATATCTCATTTTTTGTCTTTACCAATTCTCCACCATGTTTTCCCTTTTAAAAATTTGCAATAGGACGATGTCATTTCCTCAGAATGTATTAATTTTTTTAAAATGTTCTATGTGAAAAATATTCAAAGAACATTGAAATGATAAGGTTAGTTAAATACAATTTAAAATTGAATACAATTCTTGCGGATACAATGTGAATATTTTGCAACACCACATTCAAGATGTGAGATTCTCTGGTTTTCATTTCAATATGTTATGCTGATGCATTACTTTGCGCAATTGTGCGGATAAAAGCATTCAAAGTTCAGCGTGCTCAACAAAATCTGCGCAGTTCGTCTAATTAGAATGAACACTGGATTCGAGGATCTCAACAACTACACACTCATTTCTTTTCGAAAAATTTCTTTAAAAAGTCTTTCATAATCTTGCTGAGAAAAGAGTACTGTGACTCTACGGCACGATTTATCAATTATAAATTGCACTAAAAAAAGTAAATTAGTGCAATAAAATACAATTTCAAGCCTGATGACAAAAATTCCACGCTTCTGGAAGGCCAGAGAGAGGCGATATGAATAAATAGAATCAAATCGAAATGTATCTGAAAAATGCGCGAATGAGATATATATTCAAACTCATGGGAAGTACAAAATTAACAGCCGAGATTATGAGAGCATTCCGTGACACATTGCGCTTGCAACCCATGCTGAATAACTGTAGGTATCTGGCTCATCTACAATGCACATCGCAATGGAAAATACGGCGCTAGTGAGATAACTATTTTAACTCGTAGGCAATGCAAATTGCATAGTCAAGATTTTGAAGGCATTTTGTGAAACATCACGTTCGCCACAGAATAAAAGTACCTTTACTCACCGCAATAAACATTTCAACAGTTTCATCGACGGCTCTCTCTTTTGTGAGAGCTCCAGATTCGACACTGTTTAGTAAACTCTCCATGAATATCTGGACTGGTTCTGAAACAAAAACATATATTAATGGATGGCATTGTCATAGACGATCTGTGTCTCATTTAGATCCATAATAAGGACTGACATTTTTAAAAATTATACTAAGTAATTGAGTATTTACAATCTCTAATCGTTACTCTGAAAATAAATGTGTAGGTTTTATCTAATGCCACCTCAATATTTCCATATTCCAATTAGTAAATTTATATCATGTATATAAACATGAAAGTCGTATTGCACTTATTGTATTTACAGGTTATAAATTAAATTCTTCTCTTTAAGCATTAAATGTATTTTTATTTACACGGTAGTAGCTACCGGTGTAGATACCTAGTAGTCCAGGCATTATAGGAAAAATAGAAAAAAAAATTTATATATAAGGTTTTATGTGCCCAAGTTGTTCATTGGGGTGCCAGGGACTCCCAGCAAAAAGTCCCCAAGAATCCCCTGTACGCTCGACCCCCCGCCCCCCCCCCAAAACCCCCAAAAAATCGACCTTTCCTCGGTTTTTCGTAAATATCTCAAAAAGAATTGGTTTTAGCGAAAAATGAGTTACCTAGTGAATAAAAGTTCATAAAATTTCCAATAAAAATGACTTCTATGAATTTTTTTGTAAAGCGACTTTGAACCCCTCAAAATGGCCGCCGAAAAAACGGGCATTTACGGAAATTTCAGTTTTTTCCCGAAAATGCCCATTTTCCTTTGAAACGGCTGCTCTCATGCAAAAGTTAATGGCGAATTCTGAAAGAACGTTGAATTTCACATCAGAAATGATTAACATCGATCATTTTAGACTCACAGTAGATCTACGGAAATACGATATATCGAAGCTCTTCCGCCCGGGCCTAACAAATCAAGTACTGGGTATAGTTACTCATTTAAGTTTACGGTTCTGCTGGAGCAAGGAAGCGTTCAATTATCGCGTAATGCATCTGAAGAGGGAGGAGAGTCGGGATTCTCCCATCCAGAAAACAGAAATTGTGCATTGAGATTTGGGGGGGGGGGCTGAAAAATAGAAATAGAGCATTACTTTATAATTAAATGATTCCTCTTTTTCACTTCGATTTGTCTCTAGTAAAGCAATAAAACACATTTTTAAATGTTCACTTTTTCACTTCGATACCTCCAGCTCCAGTACAGATGGTTGTAAGCGGGGGGGAGGGGAGACTCAGATTTTTTGAATGATTATCTTTTTAAGCGTAAGGTGTTCATGTACTACTTTGAGCTTGAATAGAGTCAATTATAAAACCGTGCTAAAGAACAAATGATCGGTATATTAATCACAAATCATATTTTCGATTTGTTTCACTTAATAATCATTGTAAAGCAGTGTATTCTAATTAATTACAATTACTTATTCGAGAGCAAGTGGTTGCCCAATAACTTTTTTGAAGGAATGTCCAGCTGTAAAACTTAGCGAAAAGTCTTACAATAATCGTCGTCTTTTTGGCCTAAGTGCGTAATTGATTACAACTTTTTCTCTCTTCTTTTCCATCTCTTTTTCTTGTTTATCTTCTTCTCCTTCTTCTTCCGCCTTATTGCCGCTCAATTCTAGTGTTGCCCTCGCGTCATCCATATTGACCTTTTCTTCTTCTTCTTACTCGTCTGTATTAAGCACAAGCGAGTTATCACACGAGATGCCGTTGCAATGCAAGCAAACGTTTGAACATTTCAGGCCTGTTTTTCTACAACCGCACGATTTTCTGCAACCCTTAACCCTTTGTTGCACGGTGGTATACATGTCATACCACTTCGGTTTTTAATTTTTACAGCGCTGCCAATGTGATGAGCGGACTCAACTACTGAATCATTGGGTCCAATATACCTCTGGTTATCATTGCTAAATGGTATGACCATTCATTTTTACAAAATGACATGGCTACAGCGTATTGTATGTCATGAAAACCCGATATTTTAGGTTATGTCGGATCCGCATTGTTTTTCTTCGAGTCGTGTGTGAAAAATAGGTGTTATTTTTTAGATAAATGTGATTCTCTAATCTAACTAGCCGTAATTTACTAGGTGCATTGCAGTTTTTACTTGATTTTTCATTTTGGTCGATTTTCTGAGCTGAAATAAAGTGGTATGACAGTTATACCACCGCACACACAGCATTTTGTAGATAACTCAATTTTCTGTGCATTCTCGAGGAAATCTTTCTCCCCGTTTCAAGTTTTGATCCCAATGTCACTCGAGAACCGACATTTCCTTGTCTTAAGCGTATTTCTCGGGTGAAGGGTGAAGCTACTACCTCTCAAATTCAGTCGCCATCTTGGATTTGGGGCACCCTCTTTGACCGGGGTTTTTTTATGACTGCATGCTTGTAATGTGCGACTAAAGTGATATAAGAATTGAAATCTAACTTGTCTAATCACATAAAATCGAAAAAATGCTCCCTCCTACCTTTCAAAATTGGCAGCCATCTTGGATTTAGGGTACCCCCTTTGAAAAGGAGGCCTTTATGACTTCATATATGAAATTCACAACAAAAATCTTATCAGAATTGATATCTGATATTGATATCAGATGTCTGATCACGTAAGAATTTAAAAAAAAACACCCTCCTGCCTTTCAAATTTGACCGCCATCTTGGCTTTTGGGACACCCTCTTTGACCGGGGGGGAGGGGGGAGTTGGTTGGTGGGGGTGTTATGACTTTATATATAATGTGGGTGACCAAAGTGACATTGGAATTGATACCTAACTTGCCTAATCACTTATAATTTCAAAAAATGCACCCTCCTGCCTTTTAGATTTGGCCACCATCTTGGATTTAGGGTACCCCCTTCGACCAGGAGGCATTTATGACTACATATAAAATTTACGAAAAAAGGTACATCAGAATTGATATTTCAGGTGTCTGATCAAGTAAAACTTTAAAAAATAACCTTGCTGTATTTCAAATTCGGCCGCCATCTTGGATTTGGGGTACTGTTGTGGATTAGAGGGCTTTTATGACTTCACATTTGAAATCGACGACCAAATTTACATCAGAATTGATACCTCACTTGCCTAATAACGTAAAATTTTTAAAAAAAATGCACCCTTCTGCCTTTCAAATTTAGTCGCCATCTTTGATTTGGGGCTTTTTCGTTGACCGGGGGGCTATTATGACTTCTTATATGAAATTCTGAATCCTTATATGGAATTTTGGACCAAAATTTCATAAGAATTGATATCT